CTTATCATATATATTAATTGTAGTTTTTCTTTTATGGATTTTTCTATTCTATGCCTCAAGGCACATTTATTATATCTTTTTATAGTTAATACATATAATAAAATTAAAAATTGATATTAATTTTATCAATTATCTAATAAAAAAATATATTATAAATGTCAAAATTAATGTTAACTTTTTTTTATTAAATATACCCTCATTTTATGTAAATTAATGTATAAGTAATAATAAAAAATGTAATAAATATACTTTTATTTTGTATTTTAAAGGTATAAGATAAACAAACCCTTTTTTTTTTTTAATATTGTGAACAACCACTATTAATTGTTGCATTCATCATAAAGAAGAAAAGTGTTATGATTACCAACTATATAATTTAAACTATAAATAAAAACGTTCATCATTGGTTGATCTAATTATCATTTCCTAAGAAAGTCGGTATTTAAGACACGAAAGTCCTGGATTTAAATCCAAACATTCACTCCCTCGTCCCCATCCCCCACTCCCATAACAGTATTTTTTCATACCATACTTCATAAAATATTAATCTATCATTATTAAATTAACTTTAATTAATATTTTGTATAATTAAATAATCATATTAAAATACAATTTTTTAAAAATAATTATTAAATAATAATATAATTTTTATAATAAAATATTAAAAAAATCATAATCGTAATATTTCACAATAGCCCCAAATACAACTTAAAAGTACCTCCCAGCAGCGGTGATTAAATTCCGTTAAAAGTTTCCTTTTCATTTCAGACGCCCAGCTCTACGGGTCGAATAATATCCTGGACCACAGAGTCCCTACATGTCAGATCTCCAGATTCTCTTCACTACCCATTTCCGTTCCTTATTTCCCACTTTTCAATCCTCCTATCCCATTCTTGCAAGGACACTTTCTATTCTACTAACTACTGGAAAAAACTTATTTTTATTCTTTTATCTTATTAGATTTATAGGTTTTAATTCATCAACACTTTTAATTTCTCACTTATTAGAATTAAAAAAAATAAGTATCACTTTATAATATTTCGTTAGTTTTGTTAATTGATTGTTAACTCTATTAGCTGAATATAGGTTTTTACCAACAACAATCAGTTAACAATCAACTAATAGAGTTAACAGAATAATTTTGTTAATTGATTATTAACTTTATTAATTGAAAATAAGTTTTTACTATATAACAGTCAACTAATAAAGTTAATAAATAACTAATAGAATTAACAAAATATTATAAATGAGGATTGTTTTCTTTAATTTTAAATAGATGAAAAGTTAAAAATGTTATAATATAAGATGAAAACTTAAAACGATAAAGGGTTAAAACTATACTTTTGCCCTCACTACTGCCTTAATGACACAGTCTCATTCTTGGACCCTGTTAATTCCATTATTGGGTGTCGTGGAGGTCATGCACTCTGACTATTATTCAGATTGTATTGACTCATCATTGCCTCATTGCACATAATTGGTATGAAGAGAAAAAATCATGTATTAAATACCCATTTCAGATTTGTTGCATCGATCAATTTTTTCAATAGGAAATTTATTTTTTCTTTTAAATTATGGTAAAAATTCAAGTTGTATGCTATAGAAGTATAGATAGATTGATGATTGATGATCTTTTATTAGTGGGGGCATGTAAAGGACCTGTTAGCGGGCACAATTAGTCCTATCAACTGTCTCATTTGTTGCGTTTGTTATGAAAGGTTAGGTTTAGCTTTACCGCCCACCTTGCTAATGGGATCTAACGTATATAGTGTCACTTTGGATTAAAAAAAAATTTCTACTTTACCTAAATGAGGAAATTAATTTGTAAATATGGAATACGCGTGTATATGGGACCAAAATCTAATTTAGCTAATAAAAAATGATATACTTACAATATATTAAGTGATATTGTAAATTTATAATCATGATGTGTTAATATATAATTAATTATTTTTGTTTAAAATATCACACGTAATATTATATACATTTATTTATTTGATGTTATATCATCATTATAAGTTTACAGTCTCATTTGACATTATAATTATAACATTTTTTGTTTAACTAATAATTTATTAATATTAAGGATCACTAACAACCTGGTGATGACTTAAAGTGAGTTGCAAGAAGAATTGGACCGACATTGCTGCCTTTGTATTCAACCTAAAGGCATGGCCTTTTCGGCTAAAAAATAAGCAACTTGAAGTAATTTATTCATCGTAATATTGACAATCAGAATACATGTGCTGAGGTCCCATAGATTTACATAGAATATTGCTGCTTCTTTGGGATTGCTCCTGTTCATCCTCTTGCATATTCATGGGTATTAACTAGGCCTTGTGGATTCTGATGCTAATTCTCTGTTGATAATTTTGTTTGCATTATAACAAATTTAAAAATTAAAGAATATGTCATGAGTTTGTTATTATAAAGGGAAATGATTGGTATAAATTTGGTTCAATACATTTTTTTAAATTAGTTCTAATTTAATTATTAAAATATAATATAAGTATAATTTATTCAGCTAATTAGTTCATCTTGTATACATAATATTATTTTTAATTTATCTATATTTAATTTTAAATTAAATAATAATAATTTTTTAATAAATATATTGAATTAAAATATATATTAACCAATATGTTATTATAAAATTTAATCAAACGTGGTTTAAGAATTATTTAATTATTGAATACGATGCTACATTTTGTTGTTTTTAGATTGAGGATTTTAAATGCCAACAATATAAATAGTTTTATAATAATTTTTTTTAATAATAATAAAAAATTTTAAATTTAAATAATATAATATAAAAATAATTATCTCTCATTCATAACCTCATTGTCACGCATTAATTACGTCCAGAAAAAAACACACCATAATTTGCAATGCATTATGAGGTAGTTAATGCCCAATCATTCAGTTAGTGAGCATTGCATCATTAAGTTCAAGGTACCAAAAAAAAAAAAAAAACAAAATTTTCAAAAAGAAAAAAATTTATTCATATAGGTAACGATGTGGTAATGTAAATTCGACTTACACAAGTAACAACATCAAAGGTAAAGAAAAAAACAATTTTCTTTCCTCTGTTAATTAGATCCTACAAATTTTGAAATTTCCTGGAAAACGGAAAAAATGGAAAAAAAAAAAAAAATTAGCCTCTGTACAGCGGAGACCGTACGTTAAACACCAATTTGGAAACTCTGGACTGCCTGAAGGCCTTGATCGGACTCGGAAAGAACCAAACCTTCCATTTCGGCGCCGGCGATGATTTTATCTCGCCGGTGTTGGTTTCTGAAGTTACTGGCGGAACTGCGACCGACCTCGATTTTTTCATCATCGTCCTTCTTTCTTCCACTACGTTTCTCGATTTCGCTCCCTCTCTGCCTTCGCTATCCCTTTTCTTGCTCTTAAACACCGACCAGAATGGCGATTTCTTGCCTTTTCCAGAAAAATCATACTTCCTCTCGCTGTAATTCTCCGGTTTCGATCGAAGAAACGGAACCGAAAGCGATCTTGATCGCCGTAAAGCCGGTTCACTTTCAATGAGATTAGAGACGCGACCGACGGAACCGACTCCGGAGGCGGAGAATCGAGAAAAGGTAGAAGAAGAAGAAGAAGAGGAAGCGGTGGACACGGTGCTACAAGTACAAGGACGCGTGTGCGCGCAATCGGGACACAGAGAGGCGAGGCGGTCTCTGAGGCAGACAGGACAAATTCCACTTCGGTGTCGTTTCGACGGATGCTTTGCACACTTCCAGACCTCCTCTTCGTTGAGGTAACCAGCCATTAAAATGCTTCTTTTTTCTCTCCGGCCTTTTCTCCACTCGCCGGAAAAAAATTCAGGCGGTTATTTACAAACTTCCGTTTGTTTCTAATTTTTTTTTACTCAGCTACTTGTGGTGAGGGTGAGGGTGAGGTTTATAAAAGGAGAGGTTTTGATTGGGGCAGTCGAGTTAACTATGGTTAGTTTGTTTGGGTCAGCTATTGAACCATGGTTAAGGAATTAAGGCAGGGCAAGGGAGTTTCCTCAGTCGGCGTCGATTTGTTAGGCAACTAATTATTTTTTTGGAAAATAGGCAATGATAAAGAAACAAATTATGGTTACATATTAGGTGGTATGAACTTATAAATAGGTGGATGAATTGATAGGAAACTCTTTTAATTTAGTTAAAAGTCTTAATTTTAAGTTTTGAAAATATAATTTCATTAAAATTTATGAGGAAGAATTTTATCGTTTGTTAATTATGTTCGATTCGAATCCAAATTAGTCGATAATCCAATGAATTTTTAGATACTGCGTGGTCAAAAAAAAAATTAGGTGCTATGATAAATCAGATTTTTTTTTTTTGTAATTTAGCATGACTTAAATTGTAACTTAATTTCTAATTTTTCATTGAAAAGTCTTTT